AATACTCCATTCATATGACATGAGTATCTCTCTCAAAAGTTTTTATGTGCCAAAAGAAAGTATGGGTTATGCTAAAAAAGAGAGAAAATAGAAAATATCCATGCCAAAAGAGCATGAGAGAAAAAAATCCATGCCAAAGAGCATGAATAATCCCATGCTAAAACGCATGAAGAAAAGAAAAAGAAAGATAGCCCATACTTTCAAATAAAAGGCAACCAGCAAAAGCGAGAGAGCCATGCACAAAGGAGTTTAGAATTTTAGGAAAGATTTAAAAATTCCACACACTTGCACATTCTTGATCAAAGTGTATGACTTGCATCTCCTTGGATCTAGTTTTTGACTTAGCAAAATTATGTGATGCAAGTAGGCCTCCCTTTCATACCTACCGAAAACTCCACAAAAAGCTTTTAGAGGTAGGATGAAAAGAAGGCAAAATTTCAATTGCCTTTGGTGAGGATCATACACAATGAGCGATCGAGTGATATATTTTGAGGAACTTACTTTTTATTTGCAAAACTCTTAAAACCTCCAAAAAGAAAGTTGATCAAACAATACATGACTAGCGGTTCTATGAAACCGTTCTATCTTGCAGCCACCTAAGACTTGGAAAAGCAACAAGCCCCATAGGGATCAAGTTAAAAGGGTGGATAAAATGCCAACTCATTTAAATTAAGGAAGAATACTTTGTTATAGACATGGTACCTTTGAATTATAATCAACATTGCAGCAACCTGATCAACAACCAATGTCTTAGCTCTTGCTCGGGACGAGCAAGGGGTAAGCTTGGGGGATCTTGTTGGCGGTCCTTATTGACCAAATATGACAGCCAATTAAGATATAAAAAGAGGATTACTAGCATGACTTATGCACATATGTTATTTATATTGACACATTTCCACATGTATTGGACAATTAGTATTTTGCACGACATATATTTTGAATACGTGGAAAATGTGATCAAAGTGCGCAACTAGAGAAGGTGTAAAGTAGATCCTAAGCAAGCAAACAAGGAAGAGCCCACCTACCGGAAGATATTGGGCCTCAAACCCATGTGGAAGCAGCCTAGGCCCAACATGCAACTGCCATGCAGAAGGCGATCGTAGGCAGGCAACACCAGGGTGCGCCCGCACCCCCACCTGCTCCAACCGCCTCCTCCTTCCACGTGGCATCTCCTGGTGGCTCCTCCAAGGCGGTTGCAAGCGGATCTCCTTGGAATATTCCCTACAACCGACCATTCCATGGCTATAAATAGAAGAGGAGGCTCCCCTCTCATAATACACCTCATTCAAGAGCCTCTCTCCCGCCACTTGTATTCTTTTTACTATTTTTAGTAGTTGGAGCTAGGAGAAGCTACCTTAGAGAGCTTGAACAACTTGAGTCTTTTGATATGAATAATATCAAGAGTTTCCTTTTGTACTTGCTCTCATATTATCAATATATTTATGCTTAAGAAATAGAGCTAAGTTCTTATGTTATTAGTTTAGCATATAGAACTTTGTGCTTAATCTTTCATACAACATACATATTTAGACCAAGACCTAAGTTGAGGTGGTGAGTTCTACTTTAAGTTAGTTTTGGTCATTGTTTTCTTGTGGGTTCGTCGTCTGTCCCTGTGGCGGATACTCTAGCAGAGGGCCCTGATAAAGATGGATAACCCTGTGCAACGCTAGAGTAGTGTTGATAGCATAGACATGGTATCTAGGCTAGAGGCTACTTTTGTTTGCCTGACTCCACGGTTGAGGGGTAGGCGGCAGGTGGTGACAGCCCTATCCGTCCCTCGTAATCCCTCACGTTCAGGTATGGCATAGAGCTAGAGGGCGGAGGTACTTCGTAGAGCATGTATAAGCCAGTGCCCGAAGTAAGTTCATAGTGACCAAAGCTATCTTAACTTAGGATCTCTACCCTTAGTAGCTCATGTATTTGTATGATCATCTACCCATCTTAGCATAGCTATATGAGATAAGCCTGCTCCAGTTTAGGTATATCCTTTTATTCTTTATTCTTTCTCATCTTTATCCTTGAGATTGGCTTGAGTGTGTGTGTCACACTATCCAATATTTATCATGGCTTACCCCTATTATGAACTTTGGACTACTATACAGTCATGTTATCTTGTCCATGTCCCTACTAGAGACTTTTACACCATGCCTTCCTTTGAGAAATTATAAATGAACGATACCCGAATACTTCCAGGTGAAATGCTACAACGATATATCCGTGCGCTTGCAGAATATTTTTGTATGCGTTTAGAAATATCGTTAAGGCATTTCTTGTGCCATTGTTAGAAAACACAAATCCTAGTAGTGACGCTAAGAAATGCCAACAAGGTCTAGGCCAACCTAGACAAGAGTGGTGGTAGAGATTAGTCGGCGATGCAGGGCAAGGCAATGGCGTCAGGCAAGGAGACGGCGACGGGGGTGCCCTGAAGCCATTGGCCCTAATGCCTTCTAGCTAGCTAATGATCGATGATGGGAGTAACGTTGACCAGGAGGAAGAATTCAACCCCGATGCTGAAGGAAAGAATTAGTAAGGAAATGGCTCATGATCGCGTGCTACTACTCGGGTGTGCCCTACAATGTCAAGGTACTGTTCTCGGAGATGAGTAATGCCTAGGCATCCAAGAAACTATGGAGGCACATCCACTTTCGAAGAATCACTTTGTCCTCGAGTTTGACTCTGAAAAGCTCTTCAAGTTCATCACCAATGGAGGGCCATAGAGGCATAGAGTTGATGATCTTATCGTTGTGTCATATGATGGTTTCCGTAGACCTTTAGAGATTGTTATTGATAGGAACGGCTTATGGGAGCAATTCCATGACGTTCCAACTCATCTAATGTCGGAAGCTTTCACAACTGTCCTAGCAAAGGAAATCAACACTGATATTGTTAAGGTCATCAGACCGGTTGTCGACTTTCTGAGAGTCCGGCTCATGTTCCCGTTGGCAGATGCATTATAGAACTATGTGGAGTAGAGGGTCAAGGGTCAGGGCCTGCTGAGATTCAAGGTGAAGTATGAGAATGTGCCCAATTTTTGTTTCTTATGCAGACAGATTGGACACGGTGAAGACGATTGCCCAGAGGAGAATGTGAACCATGTGGAGAAACCTTTCAACATGTGGCTACATCCTTCTCCACGAAGAAAGGATGCTGGAGGAAGATCCAAATTCTTCCAATAAATAGAAGGGTGTCGGGAGCACTCAATTTTTCTGGAGCACAGAGAGAAAAGGTACTGGCTGCAACAGGATCAAGCTCTAGCAACAACAACACAAGCACGAGGTATGAATGTAAATGCAAGTGTTGAGAGGGTGAACCAACAAGGGCAAGTGACACAAAGATTTTTTCTGAGGTTTGGTTGATTGCCGGTAACTTATGTCCCCGTTGAGGTGGATCTTTTCGACGAGATATCGCCGATAGTCCACCGAGGGACATCTATGCTTGAGGACTTCAGCACAATAGGATTTGCCAAAAACTCTACCCCCTTATTTCAACTCTTACACTGGGACACATCAGAGTAGCTTGCATATCCCCACCAGGTAAGTTAATTATCATTTGCTTCTTCATAGGGCACTTTGGTATACTATGCTCCTTAACGAATCGATGTGCAATGAAGGAATGTGAAGCTCCAGAATTAAACAAAACCAATGCTGGGCTGGAGTTGACTAGATACGTACACATCACAACATCATGGGCTTCTTGTGCAGATTCTGTTGTCACATGATTGACTCTTCTTTGCACATGGTTCCATTGTTTCTGGTTTCCATTGCGGGGCTGTTGTTTATTCGGCTTTTTCGGGCACTGACCTGCATAGTGACCGGGTTCACCACAGCGGTAGCACTTCTTGCCTGAAGAGGGGGTGTCGGGCACACTATTCTTCATTGGGGTGTCGTTGAGTGGTTCTTGGTATTTGACAAAATGGTCCAGAAACTGCTTTCCATTGGACACTACAAATATTGCTTCATCTCTGTTAGTCGGTAGTGTCGTACAATTTGCTTAAAGAAAGCAGATCATAAATTTTTGATTGGACGACAACCATGGGTAGATAAAGATAGTGATGAAGCAATATTTCCTGTTCTGGTATTTGACCTGTAGTTTTACAAACAATAACAGTGTAGCCTTCTCAAAATCAGCATTATTCACTTCACAAATACAGCACTAATGGCGCAGCAGAAAATCACTCCAACAGTTGCCGCGTTTGAGAAACCGATGACCGCACTCCTCCCTTGACGCCCCCAATCGAGTGAGGCAGGCGACTGGTTGCAGATGGAGCTGTCGGCTGTTGCATGTCCGACACCGGGATAAGGCGTTGGAGATTCAGGAATTTGTTTCAGAAAGTGATACTGAGAACATAAATGGTAACGTTTGGTGGCGCGGAAATGGAACAGGAAGCTAATATCTGGAGTACCAAGTGTCATGGATGACTTCTGACGTAGTAGTAGAGGAGGCACCGAGGATGCTGGACGTTGATTCATTAGGAACAAGAGAAAAGGAACTATTGGAGGAGAGTTTTTCTTTTCTGCCCGTGTTTGAAAACATCTTAAACCAGATTTTTCTAGAATGTTTTTTCCAAAAAAAAAATCTTAGGGCCTGTTTGGTTTCTATAAATCTATAAGTCAGGTGATTTATTAAGTCAGGTGTATGAAAATCAGTGACTTATAAGTCATACTTGTTTGGTTGTAGATGACTTATAAGATCATTAAAGGTGTGGACCCCACGTGAAAAAGATGACTTATAAGTTTTAAGCAGGGGTGAACCAACTTAAAACTTTATAAGTAGGGGTGACTCATAAGTTGGTGGTGTTTGGCAAAATAAGTCACTTTTTTCATTTTTTAACTTATAAGCAGGTGACTTATTTGGAAACAAACATGCCCTTAAAGATGCTTACATGTGCCAATTCACAAATATTTACAGTTTGGACAAAATTGTTAGTTGGAAGTTGGAACATGGAAATAAGATCAACCAGCACTGAAGAACATACAGTACACAGTTTCAGTGAGTTACAATCAAGCTCGGCGCTTGCTAAGACGCCAAGAGTTGGGCTCGTGGTATCTATCATACAGAGGCTCGATCCTCTCCTGCCTTTTCCTCTTGCTCATTTTGGTGGGGTCAGTACCCTTGTAAAACCTTGGCGCCAGCTCAACAAGCCATTTTGGATCCATCACGGTCACCTCCCTCATGTACTCCTTTGTCGTCATCACAAGCTCATGATAGATGACCCAGTCTGGCTGGCGCTGGAACAATGCGCTGCTAGGGTGGATGTACACTGGCTGGTTTTCAACCAAGGTTCTGTATCCTTCCTGGGGATCCTTCCTGGCGGCGTGGAAAAAGAATCCTGCAGTGATGGCTTTCCTTATCTTTGTGAAGTTTTTCCCAGCGGAGATAACATCAAGTTTATATCTGCACAGACAAGAGTGACAGATTAGGAAATAGATAGACCTCAAAGAAAGGGTTGTATAGTCAATGAAGCAAAGATCTAACACTGAAAATAGCCATGGGAACAATAACAACAAGCTGAATTTAGAAGAAAAAAATGACATGATGTACAGGCATAGCCAGGGTCCAAACACGAAGGACACATAATAGTCTCAGAACAGTCTCAATGCTAAACCAGGTAGATAGACCTCAAAGAAAAGGTTGTCTAATCAATAAAGCATAGATCTCACTGAAAATAGCCATGAGAACAATAATAACAAGCTGACTGTAGAAGAGAAAACAACAGAAGGTACAGACACAAAGGACACATGATAGTGCACAACCATCTCAATGCTAAACCAGGTAGTAATTTTCAGTTACTCAGACTACCACAAGGGTGTTTGGTTTGATTGGAAGGTTGGTGATGAAGATAGATGAAAACTGATCCCATTAACGAGAAACATCCTTCAAGCACAAAAGGAAACGGAAAGACTCAAGCAAAAGATGGGAACAAAAAAAGATATCTGGCGCTACAGTGGCGGATTTAGGATTTTACCTAAGGGTATGCCATATCAAATTTTTTACATGCAATTCGGTAAATTTCATTTAGCAATTCGATAAATAATTACAAAATTTTGCTCCATAATTACTAAATAACATAATATGTCCTAAATTCAACAATTAAGTTCCATTTTTTCATAAATTACAACAGAAATAGGACAAACACTAATTCAATAGTTCAAAATATGCATAAACAAATCTTACAAAACTACTTTGTCTGGCTTATGCTTACAACACTATTCAGCAAGCACATCACACTCCACTGGACTAGTTGGTTGTCGGAATCGCAATCAGTATCCTAAATTCTTATGATACTACAAAGTATATTATCTATAGTTAATTTCTAGAAGTGTTAGGGGTTTGGACTATCCCCGAACAACCTCAGAATTTACCGGATGACACCACAAGAGAGGGTGAAAATAGTAAAATAAACGATCAAGTATAGTATCTATAGTTATTAACTTTTAGAGGAGATAAATAAAAGTGAAAACTGAAAACACAGGTGAGGAGATCTCACGGGAGACAACAAAGAGGGGGGGGAAAGGTTGGAAAATAAGGTGAGCTGATCTCACAGGACACAACAAAGAGGGGATTAGAAATTGGAAAATAAAAAATAACTCATAGCTACGGAGGAATCAAACTACAGCCCTCTTAGTTAGGAATGAAGGAGCATACCACTAGACCACGTAACATTTCATTAATTGTTGTTTGGAAATTTATATTTTCAAGTGTGATAGGCAAGTGTCATATAAGACCTGAGCCGGTCCACAGGGTCTGCCGTGGCCCCTAGGTGCTATCATCCGTAGCTACTACAATCGTTCCGCCTTATTTGATGAAAAATACTAAAGCAGGAAAATTTTCATCTGAACCAATACTGAAGAAAAATGCTACATAACATTTAAACAGGGAAAAATTGAAATGATCTTATCGTATGTAAACATCCAGTGGAGCTGTGGATGTATGCAGGAAAACAGGCTGCCCAAGAGCATCATAAAGGTATTGAATATATAATATGCAAGAGCACAAGGAAACATAAGAGGAACGAAAAGGTGCATAACTAATGCAAATGCTGCATATTTCTAGTTCAAACAGCTAAAATAACAGTTACCTGTCCATGATAGTGAGAAGTTGTTTCCTCACATCCTGGGCTCTCCTCAATGATCTTGATTGAACAAAGTTCTCAAAACACCAGGGCCCTGAAAAGTTCTTTGCCTTCCAGGCCTCATATACAGCAAGTAGAGTAAGATGGTCTCCCTCTGGCTGAAAAAATTTAGCCCTCTTTTGATCAGCTTGAGCCTGTTTTTCTCGTGGCCTGTAGAATATATTCCCTGTTTGAATCATAGCTATGATAGTCAGTATCTCATCAGTGCATCCAAGGTCAACACTGGCTAGTAGCATCTTTGAAAGTGGTGGATCCAATGGAAATTCTGCCATTTTTCTCCCCAGTTTGGTTAGAAGGCCCTCTTCATCAAGAGCGCCAAGGCTGTACAACTGTTCCATGGCAGAAATCAATGCTTGAGGTGCTGGGGGGTCCATAAAATCAAAGGATAACAGGTCATTTATTCCCATCGCCTTCATATTAAGAACTGTAGATCCCAAGTTGATCCTCTGTATTTCTGGAATCGTTGTGGGGGACATCTCATTCCGGTAGGCACTTTCAGTGTATAGACGATAACACTTGCCAGGTCCAGTACGCCCTGCGCGCCCTGCTCTTTGTTTCGCGGACGCTTGCGATATTGGAGTGATGACCAATGAGTCAAGCCCTTGTTTTGAATTGTATACATTGATTTTGGCAAAACCAGGATCCACAACATAGTATATACCGTCAATTGTCAAAGAAGCTTCAGCAATATTGGTCGCCACCACAACTTTCCTCTTACCAGGTGGAGCTGGGTCAAAGATCTTTGATTGCATCTCACTAGGAAGGGCACTATACACAGGCAAGATTATCAGCTCAGGAACATCCTTCCCTAGCCCCTTCATCCTCTCATAAAGACATTGGCAGGCATGATCAATTTCCTCCTGCCCTGTCAGGAAAACAAGGATGTCTCCTTCTGGCTCTGTCAAGTGAATCTGCAGCACAGTAATCAATGCTGCATCCAAGTAATCACTTTCAGGTTGCTTAGTGTACAGTATCTCTACTGGGAATGTTCTTCCAGGAATTGTGAAGATGTTACAGTTAAAGAAATATCCTGAGAACTTCTCAGCATCAAGGGTGGCAGAAGTAACAATAAGCCTCATATCAGATCTGCGTTTAATAAGTTGTTTCAGCAAACCAAAGAGCACATCAGTGTAGATGGTCCTTTCATGGGCTTCATCAAGCATGATAACAGAATACTGGGAAAGGTTCTCATCAACAAGAATTTCACGCAGAAGCATACCATCAGTCATGTATTTAATCACTGTGTCCGGACCAGTGCAGTCCTCAAAACGGATAGCATAACCAACTTCCTCTCCCAGTCGACAACCAAACTCTTCTGCCACTCTCTTTGCAACAGACATTGCAGCAACCCTACGAGGCTGAGTACACCCGATTTTACCCCGTGTGGTATAACCTGCCTCAGCCAAATATTGTGTCACCTGTGTCGTCTTCCCGGAACCAGTCTCTCCAATAACAACCAAAACTTGATTATCATGTACAGCTTGTATAAGCTCTTTCTTCAACTTGTAAATAGGAAGAGAATGCCTCTGCTCTTGTATTGAAAGCTTTGACCTTTGCCCAAAAGTTAAAGCTTTTCCATAGGCCTCCTTCTTCCATTCAGGCATGTCATAAGCTGAAAGGCCAACACCTCGCAGCTCCTGTGCAAGGTGCCGCTCACCCGTATCAGGAATTGGGTCTTCCCACGGTCGATTCAGATCCTTGGGGATTGAATCTAACATGGCTCTCTGCTCCTGTTCTCGAACCTCACGACGCTCCTTTATGAGAGCAGTCTGTAGAGCTGCTGCTCGGCTCAGTGAGCCCTCAGGATTCTTAAAGATCTTTACAGGTGACATGTCAATTGAAAACCGGCTCTGCCCCTGCAAGAATGCTGGTTCATCCTCATTTAGCTCAATTTCAAGCTCTTCCTCTGCACCTTCCTCCTGGTACATCATACCATCCCCATCCTCGTCAAACATTGGATAATCCCTCACATCCAGCACGCCTGAGGCAATAAGCTGTTTTGCTTCCCACCTCTCTGGCGAGCTCATTCGCTTGAGTGGTCGTCTTGACGTTGGGGCTGCCTCATCCTCCTCTGTGATCACAATACCTGACAAACCCAACCTCTTGCCAGACCCCATGCCACTGCCATTGCCACCTGATGGGTTCACCCTTGGTGCATCATCCCCGCCACGCTGCATCGGCAGGAGGTCTTGCCCAGTATCCTGATCCACATCCCGCATCGACAAACTCAACTTCTGCCCCTTCACCGAAACTACCTTCACATACACCTCCTGGTCACGCTTCACCACCTCCTTTGCATTGGCCACCCGCCTACTTGCCATCTGTGATACGTGAACAAGTCCCTCGCGGCCACCGCGGACATCCTCAAGCCTGACAAAGCATCCAGTGTCCATCACCCGGGTAACCCTCCCTCGGTACACCTGGTACAGCTCTGGCTCTCCACTGGGATTTGAAGCAGCAAGCTCCCTTCCCCTTCCCCTTCCTCCATCACCCCTCTCCTCTTCCTCATCATCTGCATACCTCCTGCTCCTCCCCCAGTCCCTATCTCTGTTCCTACCAGCATCTCTGTCCCTTCCTCTGCCTCTATCCTGATGCCGGTCCCCATCACGATCTCTGCCACGGTCCCGATCCCTATCACGGCCATACTCACGGTCGCGCCCTCGATCCCGGTCGCGCCCTCGATCCCAGTCGCGGCCGCCACGGTCACGGTCGTGGTCACGGCCGCCGCGACCGTAGTCCCGGTCTCGGCCTCTCTCATCCCAGCGGTGGTCGCGGTCATCCCTCGCCGGAGCAGGAGCGGCCGCATCGGCATCCCGCTCGAGCTCGAGGCGGAGGTTGCGAGCGTGATCGGGGTCGTCGGGGCGGGCGAGCCCGGGGAACTTGGCCGCCTCCGCGCCAGAGGGGCCCGCGGTGACGGCAGCAGAGCTAGGGTTGGAGGAGGTCGGCGGGAGGATGGCGTGGATGATGGTGAGGAGCGTACGGACGAAGTAGTCGGGGAAGTCGGCGCCCTCCTCCTTGAGCCGGGCGTCGAACTCGGAGACGGTTGTGGAGTCGCGGCCGAGGTCGGTGATGAACTCGGCCAGCACCTTGTCGCCGACGCCGATGTGGGTCTCGAGCTCAGAGCAAACCTTAGAGACCAGGGAAAGGTACTCCAGCTTCCTAAGCCCGTCATCGCCGGGACCAGCCTCCGCCGCCGCCGGCGCCATGGCTGAGGGTGGTGCTGGTGTCGGAGCTAGGGTTTGGTGCGCGATTCGAATTGATCGGGTTGGGTTGGCCGGTTGGGTGGGAACTGTGGTGCTGGCGTTGAGCGTCCCGGGCTCCCTATAGTTTTTTTTTCCTGTCTGTCTGTCCACAGCATACCGTCCGGCCTGATGGAAACGGAGGTTTGAATCCATGTGCCGAGATAAACTCTCACCGGCCAGCAAAGCTGATCCTAGCGGCTAAAATCTAACGCACGGGAATGTTTTGCCACGCAGGGTTTGCCTCAGGTAAAATCAAACAAGCCTATGTATACACGTAGCTTAGTGGTTACAAGAACCTCATTAACATCTTAAGTTCTGGTTAGACTCTTAGATTGTTTAATTCCATGTGAGAGCTAATATTCCAAGAGTTAACGTTGATGTGCTTTCAGTGATAGGCGACGTTTCTATCGACAGTGAGGCATCTGTGGTGACTTCATCAATCTCAAGGATTTGTCGGCTCAGTCTTCGAAGATGCTTATCAGGGTAGGGTTTATGTGCATGTGTTCATAGGGGGCGAGTGTGCGTGCGTTACGAGTGTTTGCATTGTACTATGTAATAAAAAAAAGAATAAGGGTAAAGTACATTTTTCAACCTTCAATTTATAGTGGAGTTTGATTGTCGACCCTAAACTATAAAAGCGGGTACTAGATTGCTTCCGACTGTCGAAACTGGACAAATTAGATTATTTAGCTAGTTTCAAAGGTGGTTTCCTATTATCTAAAATGATAAAAACTATTTCAATCTCTAAAAATTCATAACTTATTTATTTTAAATAAAAATTTGAAACTAATCCCATTTTTCCTAAAAATTTTATCCATTGGTGCTCTATTTGGAGTGATTTGAGTTTTATTTGTTCATGTTTCTAATAAACAGGCCACAGCATTAAAACAATAGGAACAGAAATAAATCAGTTCCAAATAACTATAAATAGACTACCAACAGTTAGATAGCATTTTTAGGAAAAATTGGTATTAGTTTCATATTTTCTTTGATTAAATACATAAATCATCCCCCTTTGAGCTCTCATCTCTCATATAGGAGTACATGACCCTTTTCATTGGCATCATAGTAAATGCAACTGGAACATGAACTGGTTGCTTAAAAGTAGTCCAACATACATAGAATGGTTAGTTAATGAATTTAATTCTGACCGCTAAAACTTGAAACATAAGGATGTACTATTAGTAATCTTCTTTGCAAAAAAACTAAACAACGAGCCAAAATAACCCGTGTGTATCTTTGAGTGTTGGGAGACTACTCCCACCAAGTCGGATAATAAGTCTAGTTGAGTATATTGTGTACCAGGATTTTATTCTCCATGTTGCTTGCAGAAGCTAGATGCTAGAGCTAATTTTGTATGTGTGGATACCTTCTTAGTGTTTTCCTTTGTATATGAAAGTGCATCTAATTCTTTAGTGGTTTTTGGTGGATTGAATGATAACACGTCTAACCAGTCTGTAAGCGCTGAAAAGAGACTTGCTTATATTGCATATACTTGAGATATGAATTGATGTATAATTTGAAGTGTATCAAAGGTTCAACAAAGAGAGCAAGCATGATGATATTTCATATTATGTTGAATTGCAAAGCCAAAATGATGTATTGTCGTGTAAGCAATTTTATTCAAGCAAAAGACAATAATACAAATAGAATTGATGATATGGCTTAAATATTATGGGATATATCTTTGTATCGTGTGGAAGCAAGCACATTTATGAAGGTTAACACGACATGACTTTTTTTTTTAAATTGGGTATAATCTCATTACTCAATGGCTAACAAACCATTAACAACAAATACATGAACGGTTTCAGGAATAGAGCTAGTGATTTACTCCTCTCCTTGTACACACATGTGACCCAGCACAGCCAGCTCATGAGCGGCACCATTACATTCTCGACCTTTAAATGAACACTCAAAACTAGTGAAACAAGAAGATGCTAGTGCCTTGATCTCACTATCAGCACCCCTACAACAGCAGCATCAAAAGCTTCAAAGGTAATCGCCTGCACCACCAACTTCGCGTCTGTCTCGATGATCAATCAACCAATTCCCAAGTCAACCGTTGTTTGTATTCCTTGGAGACAAGCAATGTGTTTGGCATGAAAGGCATTGAGCATATGATCTACCTTGCCCCTTCCAGTCACCACCACGTCACCATCGGAGTCTTGAATTGGGACCCCAGCTGCCCGATGAAGAGGTAGGCAAAAAAGACACGTCACAGTTAAGTTTCAGATATCCCAATGGTGGTTTACACCATCTCTCCCTTTGCCTAGAGGCTCTTTTGATTGTCCTTGAATTTTCTTCCTGCACCGAGGCATTTTCATGCACATAGGACTTTGATACATCGAGCAATAAAATCGACACTCCTCCTGCCCTTCCTCTCTGATGAGATTGCGTTCATTCCAAATAAACCATATAGCAATGATCATTAGCAGGTTGTAGTCTTCTTTGGATTTTAGAATTATGTCCACGACATCACGAACCAGGACAGTAATAGCTAGTGCCACCCTCTCCCTGTCCGAATTCAGCTGACACAAAAGCCCCTTCGCCAGCCTGCATTTAAAAAACAAATGCCCCCATCTTCACCGATTTCTCCATAGATTGGATAATTGTCATGTATCTTCACTCCACGCTGAATAAGATTGCTTCTCAAAGGGTGACTATTATGAGCCATTCGCTAAAAAAAGTGTTTCACCTTGCTTGGAACACACAACTGCCAAATCATCTTCCAAATTGGATCACGCACATTTCCACTGCCTCCTTGGGCTTCCAAACGACTTCTTTCCTATAATATATTAGCACGACATACCTTGTAGGCACTACGCACACTAAATCTCCCATGATTATCAAAATGTCAAGTTATGAAATTCTCCCTGCCTTCATGCACCGGCAACGCTAAAATGATATCCGTGACAGACCAGGGTCCTAGGGGTTTCCTATGGGGTCAACTACTAGGCTGGGCCCTAGGCTGGCCCACGGTCTACTAGCTGGAGGACGCGAGGCAAGGTGGCATGGACTCCAAGCTATCAAGGACTGACCTAGTTGGCTTACCAAGAAAGCTAGCTTCTATAATAGGACTAGGACTCTTCTATTTTAGCCGACTAGGACTAGATACGTGCCCCTGCCCTCTGCCCTATATAAAGAGAGACAGGGCGCACCTCCTTTGTCGACAGAATATCATCGATAGTCCACCGAGGGATATACCCATGATGGTAGATTGTGTGGTGGAGGTGCGCGTGATCAAGAACTAGATGGCAATAGAGACACAAGATTTAGACAGGTTCAGGCCGTCAATACAACATAACACCTTACATCCCATGTTCTATTGGATTGTATTGATTGTATATGAGATGAGGTGATGAGAAGAGATGAATTGAGGAGGTCCCCTACCCGCCTTATATAGCCGGGGGTAGGGTTATAGGTCGGTTAGATCTAAATCTAGTCGGTTACATGATAATCATTATAAGGAATACACTATCTAGCATATCTAATCAGATCTACCTCAATCTTCAAGATTTCTTCCTGAAGCCTAGCGGCACACGCCAAGCAATGTCGTGTGCTGCGTGCCTTGATCTTGTGGGCTAGACCACCCCTGATGGTCTGGCCCATGTCTTTTATTGTGGGTACCTAGGGTTATACCCCCACACCCTTGTACACATAATCATATAAACCAATCCAACGCAAAGGCTACATGCCGCACTAGACGTAAGGTATTACACCCATCGTGGCCTGAACCAGTATAAATCATCGTCTCTTGCGTTTACTGCCGAGTTCAGCGTACGTTGAAGCCCACCAACCATCGTCTCGGGTAGCCCCATGACGAGTTGCTAGTCCTCAAACACCGACAGCTGGCGTGCTAGGTAGGAGCTTTCGGTGACTTCGCAATCAAGAGCTCAACGGACCTCGACAACATGATTTTTCTGGTGGGATCCACCTTTGTAAGTGCAATCAAGCCCTAATGTGGGTTTTGGTGATAAAGACCACACAATTAGGGGACTAACGAGATTTATCGAGATGACAAGTAGGTAAATTCAAAAGGAGGATAACATATGTGATGGTGGAGCCCCCAATTATTTAAGGATGCGGCATCCGACTCAAAGGCATTTATAATTCATTTTACTTTTGAAATTGAGTTTAGGAAAAGCCATACTACAAAGGGGGATACAAGGCGCAAGCTTCAACATGCAACTAAGTGCAAAAAAATCCACCAAACATCCTCTTTTACCTTGCCTAGTCAGCCTGTGAAATAGTTTTCAATTCGGAGCTGACAGGCCAGAGCAGCACTACCGCTTTATGGAGCAGCACTGCTGCTCGGGCAGCAGTGCCGCACTACTACGCCTTAAAATCTTACCATTGGGGAAGGAGTATTTCCTTCACCCTCTTCCTCCCCCAACGGTCACCCACGACCATTTACATCTAGACACAGCCAGGAAAGCTCTCTTGACCTCTCTCACTCTATTGGAGCACCTCAAGCTTATCCCATCGATTCCCTTCTGATTCCTTGAGAGATTGAGCCTCCAAACTAAGAAGAAAAGCTCTCCAATCTATTCTTCATTGCCTAAAGCACTTGGTTCGCATTCAAGCCGACAGTTTGTGTTCATTACTCTTGGAGCTTGCTCCTAGCCGGCTAGCGTGTCACCCATGGAGCTTGCCAACTTATGTGTCAGCCTCGAGAGGTTTGTAATCACACCAAATCAGCTAGTGAAATCACCCCTCATCTCAAGAGTTCACTCTCTTGACTTGAGAACGAGGATAGGGTTCCACGAAACCCAAGCCTTAGTGGCTTCCTCAACAACGTGGACTTAGGCAAGCCTTAGAGGCGAGCTGAACCACGGAATAAATAGGTGTCTCACTTGTGTTCTTGTGATTTGCTTTGCAATATTTGTGTTTGTAGTGATTCTAAGGTTTGGTCCCAATCTACTTGTGTGTGCACTTCCCCCAATATTCAGGTGGTGGAATAG